ACGCACACACACACACGCGGCACGGTTCCCGAGCCAGTAGGTAAGACGTCACCAATACAGTAGTATTGTCAGGTGTCTAAGAACGACCAGACTGGAATTTCACCAAGCACAGCATACCGATGTATACACGCTGACTTAACTGTAATGCATGAAAATAAGAACGGCCTACAAAGCTAGGAGGCTGACCCCCGGCTCTTCGGCGACCGACAGCACTGTACCCTACATACCATGTCATGTCCGTGAACCTTCTGCTGTGATTCCCACTTACGTTGCATAGACTGGAGAACTTGGGATTGATGGGCAGTGACTTGGTGAATTCACGCGAGAGACTGTGCTTGAAGTAGATGTTGCCTGGCAAGTCCATGTACGCTCTGGTGGTGGTGATGGTGTAATGGTGGTGGTGGTGATGATGTAATGACGGTGGTGATGATGTAATGGTGGTGGTGGTGATGTGGTGGTGGTGATGATGTAATGGTGGTGGTGGTGGTGATGATGTAATGGCGGTGGTGGTGATGATGTAATGGCGGTGGTGGTGACGTAATGGTGGCGGCGATGATGTAATGGTGGTGGTGGTGATGATGTAATGGCGGTGGTGGTGATGATGTAATGCCGGTGGTGTTGATGATGTAATGGTGGTGGTGATGATGTAATGGTGGCAGTGGTGATGATGTAATGGCGGCGGTGGTGATGATGTAATGGTGGTGGTGATGCAATGTTGTTGACGCAATCGATAATGGTGATGGCAATGGTGATCGTGGTGATCAGAAATTTAAATGGCACAAGGTACATGCACATACGCGCATGCACGCACACACACACACACATATGCATGCATACACGCACGCACACACACGCGCAATCATACACGCAAGCACAAACAGACAAACACACACATGACTACTTACAGAGTGACTCGTACACATTCAACACATTCGTCACAAACAAGTTGGTCTTTGATAACATCCCCAAAATGCACGACTGGTTACCAGTTACGCAGTTCATGGTTTGGGCACCCCTCCCCCAACAATGACAGAACATGGGGGAATGGAGAACTACTCCATGCCGTACCCATGCACGTATAGCAATGCAGTTCATCTCCCCCCCCCCCCCTCCCCCCCCCCCCTCTCACCCTCACCCTTCCTCTCACCCCCTTTCCTCCCCCCCCCCCCCCACACACACAGCAACAATCTCTGGACCTGATGAGAGGTCAGAGTACAGTGTACCATAGCTGATCTATGTGCAGGCCTGATAGTCTCATCTGCATCTCCCCCCACCCTCCCCTCAAACACATGCACACAGCGGCAATGAGTGGACCTGATGAGGGTGTCAGATCAGGGTCATAGCTTACCTGTGTCCAGACCATAGTCTCATCTGCATCTCCCCTCAGCCCCCCCCCCCCCCCCACAGAATACAGTGTACCATAGCTAACTTATGTGCAGACCATAGTCTCATCTGCATCTCCCCTCAGCCCCCCCCCCCCCCCCACAGAATACAGTGTACCATAGCTTACCTATGTGCAGACCACAGTCTCATCTGCATCTCCCCATCCGGCGAGTCAATCCTGGGCATGAACCTGTCGGTGAACGCCTCCTTCAGCAGACACACAAACTGAGACCTAGTGTAGTGTACATGTACATGCACACACATACACACACATGCACATGCACACACATGCATACACGCACAGACACGCATACACGCACACATGCATACACATGCACACACACATGCACACACACACACACACACACACACACACACCACACACACACACACACACACACACACACACACACACACACACACACGCACACACACGTACACATACAGGGGGTTCTTACATGGACTGTCATCCGCGTACTCCGGTAGTGTCTATACGGAGCCTGCTGTTAATATAAGGCGCTTTTTTTGTATTTTCGCGGCTACTTCGGCCTTCGCCTTTGATCTTTGCAGGATAGTGGCGGTCCTACGGATGCTGAAAATCATTCTACAATTGAGTCATTAGTCTCAGGCGAACCGTGAAAAAAATTGGCCTTGGACTTTACGGCCTGAAATTTGTTGTGGCTGAAATTATGTGTTTGCAAGGTAAGTGAAGTGAAGTCGGCGGAATAGCTCGAGCTCCACGGTGGGGAGCAAACCCTTATCAAACAAATCATCGCCGAAGTCACAACCACTATTTGCAAGGTAAGGTAAAAAAAAAGTTGTAGCCTCACAGTATCAAAGGATCAGTCGGGGAAGTGAAGAGAACTGCCTGAAAAGAGAGAGAAAATGCAAGCCCACAGGGCTCGAACCCAGGACCTAGCTTATCATGAGCAATGACCTAGCTTATCATGAGCAATGCTCTACCTATCTGAGCAATGCTCTACCTATCTGAGCAATGCTCTACCTATCTGAGCAATGCTCTACCTATCTGAGCAATGCTCTGCCTATCTGAGCAATGCTCTACCTATCTGAGCAATGCTCTACCTATCTGAGCAATGCTCTACCTATCTGAGCAATGCTCTACCTATCTGAGCAATGCTCTGCCTATCTGAGCAATGCTCTACCTATCTGAGCAATGCTCTACCTATCTGAGCAATGCTCTACCTATCTGAGCAATGCTCTACCTATCTGAGCAATGCTCTACCTATCTGAGCAATGCTCTACCTATCTGAGCAATGCTCTACCTATCATGAGCAATGCTCTACCTATCTGAGCAATGCTCTACCTATCTGAGCAATGCTCTACCTATCTGAGCAATGCTCTACCTATCTGAGCAATGCTCTACCTATCTGAGCAATGCTCTACCTATCTGAGCAATGCTCTACCTATCATGAGCAATGCTCTACCTATCTGAGCAATGCTCTACCTATCTGAGCAATGCTCTACCTATCTGAGCAATGCTCTACCTATCTGAGCAATGCTCTACCTATCTGAGCAATGCTCTACCTATCTGAGCTATGGGAACAGGCAAACCATATAAGGCGTGTTTAGTTACCATTACTGGTACTGTAAACCGCCCAATATTTCTGTGACTAAATTTTCCCGATTTCTCAGAAGCAGCGAGTTTACGATGGCAAATTAGCAAACAGTAAAGCTGTGTTCACAACTGGTGCGTGGACGCGGTACGCTTGCGGTTCATGCGTCCCCAAACGCGCGCTCAGCCTTTCACAAAAAAACAGCAATCCGAGCCGTATTTAGCGCGTGCGACACCTTCAAGTACTAATTTTTTGACCCCGCCAGTCAAAGTGACTGGCATGTACGCTGATACGCGCCTGATACGCGCTGAAAATTCCAACATGTTGGAAGTTCCATTTCGGCGCGTTTCCGTACGCATGGCGCCCCAAAAGCCAGCAAAAATACGCACAAACGCGTGGTTTCACGCGTACACGCGCCAGTTGTGAACACAGCTTAAGACGTCGCAAACATTCGGCAGTTTACAATGCTCATTCTTACCCGGGCTGAACGTCCACAGCAAAGGTGGACGGTACACCGAACACCAGGGGGACTTCCCCAAAGAAGTCCCCGGTCGTCAGCACCTCGGTGAACATCTCCCTGGGCGCAGGCGGTGCTGGAAGGTGACGCATGCGATGCTGTGCCCGGGACAACACGTCCGGATCGGTCAGGTTCCGCTCCTGCTCCGTCATCACGTACATCTGCCCATACAACCGTACCACCACCATCACGGGACAGACGGACGGACAGACGGACGGACGGACGGGTGGACGGACGGACACAGGCAGACATACACACAGACAGACAGACAGACAAACAGACAGAAAGACAGATAGAAAATGAAAGATAGGGATACAGAATACTCATAAGGTTGAGGGAGTTGACGATGGGAAAAAGTCAAAAGAAAAACTTGACGGTCACCACCAGGACTCTCGCTTGCGGCCAGTGATGCTCTACCCACTAAGCTATGGTGTAGTCGTAGGAATAGAGAACAGGCGAGTAGCCCGGATGGGGCATGAGGGCAGGTGCACCCCCCCCCCCCCCTAAAAGTTTCGACCTAGGTTCAGCATGCACATAATGACCATGAAGGACATGCGACAGTGCATCCCCCCCCCCCCCCCCCATAAAAGGGGTACCAGCTATGCCCCTGAAGAAGACCAGGTAATGGCAGGTTTTAGCAGACAAGGTTATAGACGCAACACTACTTAGTCTTGCAGGGCAGCTCCAACGGCTTTGGAGGTGAAAACGTTTACAGGAAAGTCGTGTTCTCCGTTCCAAGCTGTCCTCCGATACACGCGGACTCCAGATATGATATTATTATTACAGGTGCACTTGTGAATTATGTTCTATTTACAAAGGGGTCTCAACCGAAGTAAGTTTGTTAAAGAAGATGCAATTTCCGTTCTCCCAAGCTTTCATATCTGCAACAAAGTGCGTACAGTCGACTTCGCTGATAACGACTGCGGATATAACGACAGAATTTCCATGCCCAGAGCAAAGTCCATTCTACCTGTATACATATAATGAGACTTCGGGTATAACGACACTTCGCGAATAAGGACACTTTTCTGATACCCGGCCGAGTGTCGTTATACGCAAAGTTCACTGTAGATATTGAGTCTGATATTCTCCATACAAAAATGATGTTTGGAGTCTGTGCATGCCGGAGAACAACTGACAACTGACGACAGAGAAACGCCACTCAATAGTCCGGAGGTTAGACTAACGTAGATGAAATCTGATTGCTCACCGTCGGCAGGGCTGTAGCTCTCACATATGTGCTGTGGTGACCATGCACCAGAGCACATATGTGGTGTGGTGACCATGTACCAGAGCACATTATGTGCTGTGGTGACCATGTACCACCGGCAACCTCAGAGCCGCCATTTTGACTATGTAGTACCTATGCCGACCATTTGCAGGTGTGATGACCGCACTATGCTGACTATACACGAGCAATGTGCCTTGCCGCTCACCTTGGCCTTGCCGCTCAACATGATGAACAGCCCGCGCGTTCTCATGTCTCCCCGCTCCAGCACACGCTTGGCATTCTCGCTCTGCCGTACCTGATCGTGAGAGAGAAAAACACAAGACAACAAGAGCACCAGCATCAATAGTAGCATTAGCACCATATGCACAACAAAAAGCAGCAAAAGCAGCAGCAGGAACACCACCAGCACCACCAACACCACCAGCACCACCACCACCACCACCACCACCACCACCACCTCCACCACCACCACCACCTCCACCACCACCACCACCATCATCACCACCACCAGCAGCAGTAGAAGAAGCAGAAGCAGCACTGGCAGTGGCAGCAGTGTTTAAGAAGACTGCGTGCATCATAACTAGCGGTGTGCACGGGTAGTCGCGTACCCGTGCTACCCGTAAGGACCTCGGGTAGACGGGTACAGAATAGTGCCCGAAAACCCGAAGTCGCAGATGACATCACGTACAGTGCACGTGCACAAATTCATGTATTACTGCGCGTGTCTACCCAGCGTGTAAGGGAAGGGGTGCATTGTGATCTTACCCTGGAAACATACCCGATCGGGTACCCATGCTGCTCGTGGAAAACGACCCGAACCTGATACCGGAAGAAAATGCTACCCGACTCAGCCCTAATCCTCACCATAATTATCCACTTTCTCAGTATCAAGTATACGGCGATAGCCATGCAGAGGGGATCAGTGAACAGGTTGACGATCAATCCAACTCTCTTTCTCTACTCGTGCAACACCCACTTTGAACCGAGAAATAATTAATGTCACCCATCAAACACCGGGCTACGATCCCTCGGATTATTATTATTATTATTATTATTATTATTATTATTATTATTATTATTATTATTATTATTATGACGACGACTTTATTCACTCCCAAAGCAGAAAAAGAAAGCTTGAAAGGAGGCATGAAGCACAGCACCGGGATCCATATGACCCAAGGGTGAAGCACCAATCAATGAAGATAAAAGAAAATCCTGAACCAAATTTTGATAAACTTCATGAGAGAAAAATTCAAGTATACCAACTTCGATACTCACATAAAATCACAGTCATGTATAACAGAACTACTCAAGTAGTAAACACCAAGCATGCTGCACATGGGACACTCCAAGCAAGACAAACTCAGACGAGATAAAACGGCATATGCAGAGAAAGACAATACATGACTGGGGGCATATGGCAGAAATTCACGCCTCTCGGCTCGTCACACAGCACATGATGCACCACAATCATAAAACACACAGACTGAGACACGTCGAGACATTACGGGCAGGCTAACATAAGGTCAACCGACCGTTCCGACCATGCCACTCTCCCATCCATGACCAGTCACCGACCGCACAATTCTCAGGGTGCCCAGAATAGCACATTGCTGCAGCCGCTGGATCACGGACGCGTGGAGCCCAAGGCTTAAGATGTGGCTGCGGCTCGTTCCTGACACACCACCCAGAGCACCAATGATAACTGGAACAATAGTTATCTTTTTGTTCCAGATCCTCCTCAGCTCTGCTGCCAAGGGCAGGTATTTGCTGATCTTCTCCTGCACCTTCTCATTGACCCTGTGGTCCAATGGGACACTGACGTCCAAGAGCAGTGCCCGATCATCCAGAACCAGCACCAGGTCTGGTCTGTTCGCTTTTATTACTCGATCTATTATTATTATTATTATTATTCAAACAGTAGTTTGGAGGCGGTGGGAAAAACAGTTTCGTAATACGTATTCGCATGCAACGACGCAAATCCACACAATTCAGTAGACACTTTTTCTATCAAACGTTTGTCTACAACTTGCAGCTGTTTGTTTTTGAGTTTTTAACACTTTAATCATTTTTAACACCTATGTTGAAGTGTTGACTTTTCTTTCTTTCACTATATAGTTATGTGTTTTTCTAATTTCCAACATTCCCTGTACTATCCTGAAGAGAAGGGAAAGAAAACGTTTGATAGAAAAAGTGTCTACTGAATTGTGTGGATTTGCGTCGTTGCATGCGAATACGTATTATTATTATTATTATTATTATTATTATTATTTGAACAAACGGCGAGGAGACAACAATTTGATAACCGCAATCAGTAATACAAGCTGGATCGACATTTGTGTACACTGTATTCATGTATTGTAAAACTGTGGAGACAATGTGCAATAAAACGATGAAAAATGTGAAGAAATTGTGTAGAGAAAGAAAGGGATTCAAACAAGTTTTCGTACAACACTCATCAGGAATCATCGTTGTACTAAAGGACACTGAAACAAAAATTGAACTATTATAGAAAATCTAAGTTAAAGAAATAACACTAAGAGCAACAACAGTGAAATTTACAAGTGTGAATTTTAACAATCAAAGCGAGAAATGAACAAATGAACAAAGGAGAAAGGAAGGAAAGACAACGTGATAACACATAACAGCAGTACATTACACCTAGAACATTAACGGCCAAGCTTGGCCGCACTAAACACGACACGTTACTTGAACAACTTCAACCCAATTATACTATCTTTCTGTACACACAAATTAGGCTTGTACAGACGCTGATAGATAGCTTCCAACACTTTTAACTGTAGTCCATAACCATGACGACCACGGCACAATACAGTGAACGAAGAGTCAGAATACGCACCGCAACAATCAGGACTAGCCAGCAGATGATTGTACACTGAAGACTTGCTACCACGAAACCTACGCACAACACTAACACTCTCACCGGCACTCTCACCATCACTCCCATCCATTGTCTAAACATCGTCTAAGAAAACCTACGTTAAGGGCGACACTACGATAATGAAAACGTGCTTTCAGCGTTAGATTCAGAATATCTATCTGAGGCTGGGTGTATCTCGATTTAAAATATTTGAACAAACGGCGAGGAGACAACAATTTGATAACCGCAATCAGTAATACAAGCTGGATCGACATTTGTGTACACTGTATTCATGTATTGTAAAACTGTGGAGACAATGTGCAATAAAACGATGAAAAATGTGAAGAAATTGTGTAGAGAAAGAAAGGGATTCAAACAAGTTTTCGTACAACACTCATCAGGAATCATCGTTGTACTAAAGGACACTGAAACAAAAATTGAACTATTATAGAAAATCTAAGTTAAAGAAATAACACTAAGAGCAACAACAGTGAAATTTACAAGTGTGAATTTTAACAATCAAAGCGAGAAATGAACAAAGGAGAAAGGAAGGAAAGACAACGTGATAACACATAACAGCAGTACATTACACCTAGAACATTAACGGCCAAGCTTGGCCGCACTAAACACGACACGTTACTTGAACAACTTCAACCCAATTATACTATCTTTCTGTACACACAAATTAGGCTTGTACAGACGCTGATAGATAGCTTCCAACACTTTTAACTGTAGTCCATAACCATGACGACCACGGCACAATACAGTGAACGAAGAGTCAGAATACGCACCGCAACAATCAGGACTAGCCAGCAGATGATTGTACACTGAAGACTTGCTACCACGAAACCTACGCACAACACTAACACTCTCACCGGCACTCTCACCATCACTCCCATCCATTGTCTAAACATCGTCTAAGAAAACCTACGTTAAGGGCGACACTACGATAATGAAAACGTGCTTTCAGCGTTAGATTCAGAATATCTATCTGAGGCTGGGTGTATCTCGATTTAAAATATTTGAACAAACGGCGAGGAGACAACAATTTGATAACCGCAATCAGTAATACAAGCTGGATCGACATTTGTGTACACTGTATTCATGTATTGTAAAACTGTGGAGACAATGTGCAATAAAACGATGAAAAATGTGAAGAAATTGTGTAGAGAAAGAAAGGGATTCAAACAAGTTTTCGTACAACACTCATCAGGAATCATCGTTGTACTAAAGGACACTGAAACAAAAATTGAACTATTATAGAAAATCTAAGTTAAAGAAATAACACTAAGAGCAACAACAGTGAAATTTACAAGTGTGAATTTTAACAATCAAAGCGAGAAATGAACAAAGGAGAAAGGAAGGAAAGACAACGTGATAACACATAACAGCAGTACATTACACCTAGAACATTAACGGCCAAGCTTGGCCGCACTAAACACGACACGTTACTTGAACAACTTCAACCCAATTATACTATCTTTCTGTACACACAAATTAGGCTTGTACAGACGCTGATAGATAGCTTCCAACACTTTTAACTGTAGTCCATAACCATGACGACCACGGCACAATACAGTGAACGAAGAGTCAGAATACGCACCGCAACAATCAGGACTAGCCAGCAGATGATTGTACACTGAAGACTTGCTACCACGAAACCTACGCACAACACTAACACTCTCACCGGCACTCTCACCATCACTCCCATCCATTGTCTAAACATCGTCTAAGAAAACCTACGTTAAGGGCGACACTACGATAATGAAAACGTGCTTTCAGCGTTAGATTCAGAATATCTATCTGAGGCTGGGTGTATCTCGATTTAAAATATTTGAACAAACGGCGAGGAGACAACAATTTGATAACCGCAATCAGTAATACAAGCTGGATCGACATTTGTGTACACTGTATTCATGTATTGTAAAACTGTGGAGACAATGTGCAATAAAACGATGAAAAATGTGAAGAAATTGTGTAGAGAAAGAAAGGGATTCAAACAAGTTTTCGTACAACACTCATCAGGAATCATCGTTGTACTAAAGGACACTGAAACAAAAATTGAACTATTATAGAAAATCTAAGTTAAAGAAATAACACTAAGAGCAACAACAGTGAAATTTACAAGTGTGAATTTTAACAATCAAAGCGAGAAATGAACAAAGGAGAAAGGAAGGAAAGACAACGTGATAACACATAACAGCAGTACATTACACCTAGAACATTAACGGCCAAGCTTGGCCGCACTAAACACGACACGTTACTTGAACAACTTCAACCCAATTATACTATCTTTCTGTACACACAAATTAGGCTTGTACAGACGCTGATAGATAGCTTCCAACACTTTTAACTGTAGTCCATAACCATGACGACCACGGCACAATACAGTGAACGAAGAGTCAGAATACGCA